GTGTGTGTGTGTGTGTGTGTGTGTGTGTGTGTGTGTGTGTGTGTATGTGTATTGGTGGCACAGTGGATAAGAGGCCTGGCCTGGAGTCAGGAAGATTCACCTTTCTGGGTTCAAATCCAGCCTCAGATATTTACTAGCTATGTGACCCTGGTCAAGTCACTTAACCCTGTTTGCCTCAGTTTCCTCATCTATGAAATGAATTGGGGAAGGAAATGGCAAATGAATCCAATATCTTGCCAAGAAAATCCCAAATGTGATCACAAACTAGATCAACTAGACAGATAAATGTTGTTATTTTTGTCTTAGGATGGTTTTTTTTGGCCTAGTTAAAAATCATTATTCTTTAATTAAAAGTTAAAATTTCAGTTTGTGGACCTAGAGCATGAATTTCGACAAAGTTTTTTTGTCAATTGTAGAGTAGATGGGTCCTCAGCAACTCTTCTTGTTTACTTAGCCTTTGTATTAGAGCAAGATAGGCACCCTTTTCTAAGCTCATCAGGGTGGATCATGGTAAACCAATTCTCTTTTTTGCCAAAACTTCTGTTTCTAAAGTGGGAACTTGCAGTGAGGGAATGGCGAGTGGATATCTCCTGTCAAATTTGTCAAAGTCTCCTAAACATACCCTATGTTTTCCTGCTTAAATGACATTGCTCATACTGTTCCCAATGCCCAAGATGCCCTTCTCTTTCACTGTCAAATCTCTACTCTATCCTTTAAAGTCCAATTCAAATGCCACCTCCTCCATGATGCCTTTCTGAATCCCTTATCCACCTGTTAACAATGCCTTTCCTACACTTGCTTCCCCACAGTATTTGTGTTTTCCTTTTTTACTCACCCTGTGTTATTTGTATTACTCTTGCCCATCATATCCCTCTTACCTAAATAACTGTCTCCTCTGGCTTCTAGCACAGTGCTCTGCAGACCAGCTGTGCTTTATAAATGTTTGTCGAATTAAATTAAAAAGTATGAGCAGCATTGGAGTAGTACCTTTTTTGCTATTTTAAACTTGTTTTTGTGGCAAGAGGTCAAGGCATGGTCAGTTCTGCCTCATATTCAGGTTACAACAATATTTTATGGCTTAAAGTCTTTTACAACTCCCACTCTTAGGTTGTGGGGCTACGGGAAGATCTTCAGTGGGGTTTGAACTGGTGCTTTATTTTGATTTCTGCCACCATATCTTTGGTAAAAGTTGGAAGAAAAGAAGAGCCAAAAGAATAAGGGAAAAGAACAATAACTTTAAAACAAAATAAAAGAAACCTGTTGTCTTTATCTTTTCCTCCTCTTTGGGTTACTTATTTCTCCTAGTAACTAAGAACTGACCCAAGTAGCTTCAGAGGTCATGGTGTGGCTTATGTTGTTCCAGATTGTTGCATTAGCTTTAAATACTCAATTCCTTCCCACCCCAAATTTGTTTTTCAAAGTTTTTCTTCTTTCATGGCCTCCGTACCTTTAGTCTTCCTTTCCTCTACATAATAATAGCTCACATTTCTATAATTTTAAGGTTTCCCTCCCTCCCTCCCTTCCTTCCTCTCTCCCTCCCCTGTGAATCACATCACCATTGCTATGACTCCCCAGATCAGATCTCCTTTCTCTGTCATTGCTTAAAACAGTGCCTGGCACTTAGTGCCTAATAAATGCTTTTTTATACATTCATTATAAAGGAGGAATGTGTAGATCCTTCTTTATTCTTTCCTTTATTTGTGCATTTTCCTGAAGGCATTTTAGTTTTTGAGCTTTCAGGAGCAGCTCTATATAAATAGTCTTTCCTCATCAGCTCTATCAGTTAATTAATGAAATGTTTAGGCTTATGTGCATTTATTTAATAATAAATTGCATTTAAATATTATATCTAATTTCCTATTTACAGGAATAGGGGCTAGACCTGTGATTTTGTTGTTACAAAGAACTTCACTTGCCCAGTTGTCTTCACTAGCTGCCATGTGACTTGAGTCATTATCCTCCTCCCCTCTTTCTTGTCTGGACCCATAATCCAATCAACTTTGTCATTGATCTTAGAAAAAGCATGTCAATCTACTCACTTCTCATTTTACTTGCCATCTTTACTTTTCCAAACCAAAATATCTCTCCCTGGTCCACAGTCTTGTATATTTTTGACTCCATCACATATAAGTTCCTTGTGTACAGGGTCTACATTTGCTTGTGGATTTGTTTTCTTAGCACTTGGCACATTGCTTGGCACATACAGCTTAATAAATGCATTCTCATTTATACATGTATAAAGAAATTCTCTCTACCAGTGCAGATTGCGACCTTTTGTGTAATTTTTCTTCTTGGAGAATTGTTTAGGACCCTGAGAAGTCAAGTGCCTTGTTTGGGGTCCCCCCCCTGCAATCTGTAGATCTCAACGATTGGATTTGAAGCCAGGTCTTTGTAGCTCTAAATCTGGGTTGCTATCCAAAAGGCCCTGGACACTTCCCCATGGACACTTCCAAGAAAAGCTTCCTTTACTTCCCAGAATGAGTTTGCAGTGATTGCTGTATTGCTCACTTGAGTTAGATACTAGTGTGCTTTGGTTTGGGTGTGCCAAACTTGCACTTGGGTTTGACTTAACTGTGTCTATTGCATCGTTTTCTTTCATTGGATCACAATAAAGAAAGATCTGTTTGCTTTTTCAGTGTACCCCTAAAATCAATGATGCAGGCATTTCACTCACATTTTTAAAAACATGAATCATGCTGTCCAGATGAAGAGTTGAAATCTTATTATGCCACGAGGGTGGGGGGAGTGGAAGGGGGAATTTGGAAATCTGGTGAATTAAGAAGGACATAAAAAAAATTGATAAAGATAGGATTGTCTGTTTTTATATTCTGCCATATAACATGGGTTTAAATGAATTTACCTATAATTTGTCTTCAAATACTGACATTTAACTCTTAGGCTGTATAATTGAACTGGCTTTTTCGAGAGTAAAATTCATACCCTGTGTCCAGGCTAATATGTTCACCTTCTATAAACATTACTGCCTATGGTTACAGCTGGAATAAAAAATTCCTTTTATATACATCATAGCTGGCAGAGGCTCCTGAGACCACCACAAATCATTCCAGTCTTTTGGAGCTTGCTGACAAAATGCACAAAAATGTAAAACCAGGCTGGTCTAAGATGGATTGACTCTGAAAACCTATTAGCTTATTTAGACCATTGTTTATACCGTTATTTTTTGTAAGATGCTGAGTAAAGTATTCCACAAGCTCTCCTTATTAATTTAGTCTCCAAGCTTAGTAACCTGACCCCTTACCAAAAGTGGCTTCTCTTCTACGAGCCATTTCTGGCTTTTTTTTTAAGGTTGATAATGGGAATAATGAAGCAGTCAGTTATTTATGCAGTCATGATTGGCAAAAGTGATTAGAACACGAACCTGCCCAAAAGCAGTGATTAGGTCATGAAAATGTTAAGGAATACTGAAACCAGGCACTATATTTGACATTTAAGAAATATTATTCCAACCCTTAATCATGACAACTTGTTTTTAAGGTATTTATACAGAATAATACCTTTGGACAATGAATCTTGTACTAGCAGTGTGCATAATTAAATATAAGGGGGAGATTCAGAAATGATGTGCTGTAAGACAAGGGACTAGGGAAGAAATTACTACAATGACAGGTGAAGAACAGATTTCTTTCCTGGTCACAAACGTCTCCTCCCACAGATATGACCGTGGTGACTGGGTATTCTTGCAGCTCTATTTATTAAAGATCTTCCAAGTTTGGAGGGGCCAGAGAGTTGTGCATGGGGGCAGTGGTTTTTTTTTGTTTGTTTGTTTGTTTTTTTGGTAACTGAATACAAAGACCTGAGTGGTTACCTAGACAAGCAACTCTGTGCCCCGCAGTTTAAAAATGAAGTGTTGACTTGACTGGCTTTTATAATTAAATCATAAGCCCCCCCTTTTTTTGTTCATGTTTTCTCATAGTAAAATTTTAAACTCCTTAAGAATAGGGACTGTTTTATTTTAGTATTTTCTTTAAATCTCCAATGCATAGCCTAGTTCCTGGCATTATCATATCAAGATGATTAATAAATATTTGTTGAAATGAAGTTTTTATAGTTTTTTACTTAGGAAGTAATTATAACTATCTTTACTCTTTCATTAATTCTACTTGCCTTTGTTTTTGTGTATTTGATAATTAGGGGAGGAAAGGTCTCTTTGAATGGGATGTCATTGCTTAATTCATTGTCAATATTTTTTTTTTCTTTAATTGTTTGGATATGCTGATTTTTGACCTTAAGCTTTTTCACCCACATAGCTGTCCATCTGAATTCTGTTGGTAGGGGCTGTCTTCTAGAAAAGACAGAAAAATCTAAAGGTGAGATTGGAAAGTTTCTCTTTTTTTCCTTAACTTGCTATCTCACCCCTGCAGCAACAGTATAGAGAGTGCCAGGAACTTCTGAGTCTTTATCAGAAATACCTTTCTGAACAGCAGCAGAAGCTCTCTCTGTCCCTCTCAGAACTCCACACTGGTAAAGTGAAGGAGCATCATCAGGTAAGCAAGAACCTTTCACCTTATGTTGTCTAGCCTTTGATGGTGAGACCAGCAAGGTGCTGAAAGAGAATGAACACATTCACTTTCCATTGTAGAAGTGCTATCCTCAGTCAATTTAGTTAGTTATTTTACCTTCCATTTTCCCCTTCTTCCCTCTCTCTCCCATCTCTTTCTCCCCTCTCTCTTTTCTTTCTCCCCTCTCCTCTCTGCTTTCTCCTCTTTCTCCCCCTTTATTCCCCTCTCTGTTCTGCTCTCTCCCCTCTCTCCCTTCTCTCCTCCCCTCTCCTTCTCCCCAGTGTCCAGAGGTCAGCATAATCACTTAATGCATGCTCCTGATCATTGCAGGAAACTCCTGCTTGAGATTTGATCACAGCAGGAACTGGGAAAAAAACAAAACAAAGAAAGAAAGAATTGCTTTGTTCCTTAATGAGAAAGATCAGTGTTCTTATGAAAAACAATTATATACTATTCTAAGTCTTCTTACCTAAGTCATCTTTATATTTCAAAATTATTTGAAATGAGATGGCACAAGTTGTGTAAGGGTTTTGAATTTAGACTTTAAAGTTTCTAGCTATTTTTAAAGATAAATATATATTTATACACACAAATATTGCAGTGTCTATGAGGTATACACATTTCATAACTATATAGTATTTTAAAATGTCCTCTCTTCATGGTTATATTTTGCAAAGCAAACACATATAGCTCTTACCTTTTAGGAATCAATAATCTAGTCCTAGACCTGTGATTTTGCTTGAATGAAAATCCTGGTTGGGAAACTGCCTCCATTGATGCTATATTGGTAACGTCTGTAACTTAGAGTTCTTATGCAATTATAAATCTGAGAGAGTTACCTGGGCCAAAGTGATTTGCCCATACACTCTTAGTGGTTGAAGACAAAGCTTGAACCCAGGTCTTCCTGACTACAAGCTCCTATACCCTAGGACACACTGTCTCTCTAAAATCTTTATAATGAACATGAAATATAAAAATGTACTAAAATAGAAACTGTTGGGTTTTTTAAATTGTATTGTGAGTTGATGTCGATTAATATTTTAAAGTATACATATACTAGAGTTAAGTTTTTAAAATTGATGATGTGCTATAATAGGGATAGTGTACTATTTTTCTCTTCTTTGAATGGATATCATGTTTTAAAGGTCAGACTTTAGAACATAGCTACTTTACTAGTATAGCCCACTTCTTTAAAATACTGTATTTCAAATGGGAAATGTGCTTCCCAAAATTTTAAAAGGAGGTAATACATTGTTAGGAGTATGAAAGTTGAATTTAAATTCCTTTATGAAATTTACTTTCTACCTTGGTGCATGAAAACCTGTGTCACCATAAAAGGGAGGGAGACAGGTCTCAAACGCATTTGTGTTGTCTCTGGAAATCCTTTGTACTTGTCAGTCACATTGAAAAGGGTGTTATTTAGGTAAGTTATTTCTAGTCAGATTCCTCAGGAGTGCTGAAAGAAGATCTGGATGGGAGTCCTATTCTTGACTTTTTCCTCAGTATTTACCTTAGACTACATAACCACAGATCTGTTGTGGTATGAAGTGGAGCTTTAGGGCCTATTTCTGATATGATCTTTTCCTGTAACATGTAGAATGTGATGGCAATAAATAGTCACTAGGGGGCTCCAAAGACATCTACATAAGGAGGTCTAACCCTTTTTTTCCCGTCTGATTGGAGAGCAGGATGTTACTCTTGTGTTACAGTGGTAAGCTAGTAATTTCTTGGTAAGTTTGACTAGGGACTGATTTATAGTTGATAATAGTGCCTCAGAATGGGCTCTTAATTTTTCCCTACCTCTTCTTGTCCCTACTTCCACATAATCTACAAATGGGGAAGGGGAAGAGAGAGGGGTGAGAAAGGAGAACAAATAATCAGCCACTACCCTAGTAGTGTGACAGTGTTGGCTTTTTGTGCAGCAGTAACAACCAAAGGTACATGTTTGGAAAAGACATATTTCAAAAAGGGGAATGCTTTTGAGTCTAAGTAACTGTGATTTTAGTGGTGAAGGTATTCCTTGCCACTGTGGCAATATTGCATCCTCTCTAGTTGTTAGTAGATAGTTTTTGTGAGTGTCTGTTGGTGGAAAATGCATTATCCTCTCGCTAGTATGGTGTCTGGTTTCCTGAACTCAAGCATTGTGTTCCTTATACAACAGTTAGATGCTAAGCCTGTACTTGCATCCTTGCCAACTTGGTAGGAACTGCCAGAGCATGTGCTCCCCTGGCCTAGCCTTCATGTGCCCAGAGAGACCTCTGAAGAATTGACATAGCACATTAGTGGAGTCTTACAGTCTCTGAGTTGTCACTTTGAGTGTTTAAAACAGAAGTCCTGTTCTTAGAAAGGGTTTAGTGTATTCCAATGCAGTCCTAGCTGCTGTGGAAATGGAGTTGAAAATTAAAGAGTGCCTTGTCATTCAGAGACAACTGACCTACTTGCCTTCTAGAAGCAGAGACAACTATTTTCTTTAGGGGCTAAGTCAAAGAATCTGCAGATCAATTCCATCTTAGAGCACAGCTGTATCATCAGTATTTCCACTTTTGTTGAAAAGCCTCTGTGAACTTCTATGAGGAGGGCTTCTTTTCCTTCTACATGGAAAAGGGTGAATTGGACATGTGCTCATTGCTGAGGTCATTCTGAAGATTCTGAGTCTGAGCTTCTTTTCCAAGAAAGCTATTTTTGGGGAAAGCATCAAGAATGATAAAGATCTGGCTTTTGCTGGCCTTTGTTTCCAAAAGGTGACAGCTACACCCTATCTTTTGTCTCCAAATGAAAAACACAGACTTTGAACTGATTGGACCAGAGGCTTTAGTTGGGGGCAAGCAGGGGCAGAGTTCTGAGCTGTTGGTTCTCCCAGTGAATAGCAATGGATCAGATCAATGTAAAATTTCATTGATTTCCTAAGCAAGGCATTTGCCTTTAAAAACAACAACAACAACAACAAATCCAAAACTGATATCCAGGTTTTGAGATGGAGGTGGTAGCTGTTTATTGTTCATGAAGCATTCATTTGACTTTGAAAGTCTTGTTCATTTTTTCTCCATAAAGTTGGTTGCTATCTGGCTCAGATTAGGTTGTATAGGTTGTTTCATATTCACGTTTCACCCACAATTCATCAACAGTGTTCTGACTTAAGATTTTGCCTCTCTTTAGGGTATGTATCATATCTGTTTCTATTTCTTTCATTTCCAACAAAAGGAAACCTTCCTGGGGGAATTTTTTATCTCTGATTTTCTTTAAACCTTGAATCATTTTTCATTTTATTTCTGGATCTCTACCTGTAATCACCAACTTCTCCCTGTACCCCTCCCCCCCATCCCCAAACACACACTTTGGTAAATAAGTCTTGGATTTACTCTAGCATTTCTTTACTTTGGCAGGGTTTTGTACTTTAGTTTCTGGAGAAGTCCTTTTCAGCTGTAAAAGTCCATGTTTTCTTATCCAAACTAGCAAAGTTTTAGAAATCTGGCCCCCACTCATAAAACGTTTAACATACAATGCATAGCTCTTTAATTTCACCTCATAACAATCTTGTGAAGTATGTTCTACACATACTATTATGTTCATTTTATAGATGAAAAACTGAGGTTCAGAAAAGTTAAGTGACTTGCTTATGGCCACATAGCTAGAAAGTGTCCAAAGTATCATTTGAGCCTAGGTCTTCCAGTCTCTTAATCTCTGTCTTCATTACCTGTCATTCTGTCTTTGTTGACTAGATGAATGAATTGGTTCACACTAATGTTTTTGGTGTCTTGAATGTCTTTCCCGTGTAATTCAGGAAATTTAAAACTGTCTTATTGTCTCATTGGCCACCTTCCTTTTGAAAAGTTTATGGCATGCTTTTAGCACTTTATACATTGAGGAAAGCCAGGGCAGTAGTCTGGGGGGCAGTTTTCCTTTACTGTAAAAGTATTGACATGCATGTTAGGTTTAGGCCTTACTATTCTTTTCTGTCTCTAACTATAATCCATACTTCAGGTTGTTATAAATTCTATAGTATCACCTTTTGGCAACTTCTTTTCTTGCTGATGTTGGAAGGTAGACTAAAAGAATCTCGAGAGTGCTATTGCCATTTTCTCTGGATCCCTTTGGCCTCTGTGAGGAAATGGAGGTTGTGGACTGTGGTAGTGGGTATTATTGCTTCATCAGCACTCTCCAGATCTGAAGGTGGTCTTTGGTGTGATGGCAGTCTTTCAGTTCATGGAGCTCTTCCATTTTCTTATCTGATCATCTGTTACATGTTTTTCCTAAAATTTTGGACAAAAGTTGTTTGTGCTGTGTTGTTGTTTTTTTTCTTTGCCAGGAATTACATCTTAATTCCTGGGTCATTTTAATCCTCTCAGTATCAGAGGCATTATTTTTTACTCTTATGTGGTACTTATAACCATGTGGAATATTGAGTCTCAGGGCCACCTCCTATTCCCTTACTGTTTCCATGGATACTTTCAGCTGGTATACTCTTTCAAGCAGCCTACAGAGATATGGCTATGAAGCTTCTTGTTCCTGTTTTGATTTTGAAGGCTTTTAAAACTGAACTGGCTGACTGGTGTACATAGAAAGATTTTGTTAGATCAATGCCCCTGCCCCACAAAACTACACTGAGGACCAGTAAAAAATACAAACTCTTTACCATTGGCTGTGCTGCCATCTGCAGCTTCACTGTAGAACCTCTCATTAACTCAGTGTCTGAGAACCTTTAGCTGTGAAGAAAGAGGGAGCTGGTAGTAGAGGCCTGAAATGGAGAAATTAGTAGTCATTTAAAAAATGTTTTTAAGACCTTTGGTAATGTAAGTTTTGTAACCAATAAAAATTAGCTACAAAAAGCTGCTGGTTCATGGATTGATGATTAAGAAATACTAAAATATGGGATTCCTAAGTATCTTCTAATTGTAAGGTTCTCTTAAGTCTACGGATGCCAATTTGTGCTTAATAAATCAAAGATTATCTTTGACAATACAGAACTAAAAAAACCACTTAATTCT